CGAATCAATAAAAAGTTGTTTTGTATATTATTATTATGTAATGGATAATAAAATACATAAAATTGTATTAACTGTTACGTTTTCTTATCTAAGAAATCTAAAAATAATAATTGATACAAATGATAAATTTAATCATATTTAAAAAAATAATAATAATAGTAATATGGTTTTTTCTACAAAATTTTACATTTAATAAACAGTTTTCTATTCTTAAAGCTTTATTTCGCTTGAATCGCGTTTTGTTTTGCCCAAACGTGACGTCACGCGCTAAAAGATGTTGGCTTCAAAATATATAATTTACGGCGGGTCTATCAGTTTATATGGTCGAAGGTTTAGAACATAATAACGTTTACTAATTTAGTTATTGACTTTGTTTACATGTTGGTTTATGTGTTGATAACTATTATACATATATATATATAAATAATTTTTTTAAATAATTTTATATATTTTTAAAATGTTATAATATGTATGCTAAATAAAGGGAAGTGTGAAGTTATATTACATGCAGTTACTGCAATTCAATCCATACTTGTAAAACATTTATAAATTATTTATAAATGTATATATAAATGTATTATAAATACATTTTAAAAATTTGCATTGCATTTGGGGAAATAAAGTTGTATTATATTAAATTAATGATCAGCAATTGAATGTAAATAATAATAATCACAATAATAAATTAAAAAAATAATAATACCATTGTTATTAATAATTCTTGGGTAACTTTGTGCAAAAATTGTATGCATATAACTTAAGTAAGTTCTTATTTAAGAGTTGATTTATGAATGTAAGGTAATGTTTGAAACAATAGTATATTAAATAATTATATAATACTTAAAGTATTATAAAATTATTTAATATACTACTTATTTAATATACTATTATTTAATATGCAATTTATTAAATACTTTGCATGTGTTTATATGTTTATATAATTTAATTTTAAAATTTTTATTTAGAAACATATTTAAACAATTTAAATAATGGTGAGAAATTGTGTGCGAAAAACACAGAGAGGTGCAACTAATGATAGGATAAAGTCAGCGTTAGAAGCTATAGAGATGGGCTGCAGTCTGAAAAATGTTGCATCAGAATTTAGTATTAACAAAAAAACATTACAACGTCATCGAGATGAAAAAGTAAAGGTAGTTGGTGGTTTACCTCTGGGTGGAAAATCTCCTGTATTTAGTAAAGATTTTGAATTAAACATTGTAACACAAGTTCAGATTATGGAAAGAGCATTATTTGGCTTGATAACAATAGATATACGTCGCCTAGCATATGATTTTGCTAAACAAATGGGAATTGAAAATCCTTTTAATAATGAATCAAAAATGGCAGGAAAGGATTGGCTGCAAGGATTTATGTCTCGCAACCAACAACTTTCTATTCGAACCCCACAAGCCACCAGTGTAAGCAGAGCTGTTGGCTTCAATAAACCAAGTTAAATCAGCTTTTTTCAGTATACAAGTCATTATTTGAGGAACATAAGTTTTCAGCCAAACAGCTCTGGAATATGGATGAAACTGGAATAACAAATGTCCATAAGCCAGGAAAAATAATTGCAACAAAGGGAAAACGACAAGTTTCAAAAATAACTAGTGGAGAAAGAGGTGCTACTGTGACTGTCGTGTGTGCAATGAGTGCAAGTGGTGTTTATGTCCCACCATTATTTATATTCCCCCGTAAGCGAATGACTGATAGGCTGGCTTTTGGTGCACCTTCAGGGTCAATTGTTAGAGTTAGCTCCAGTGGATGGACAGATTCATCTTTATTCATCGAATGGTTAACACATTTTGTTATTGTGACTCATGCATCTAAAAATAATGAGCAATTAATTGTACTCGATGGTCATTATAGTCACAAAACACTTGAAGCCATTAACTTTTGTCGCAACAATGGGATTCACCTCATAACTCTTCCACCTCATTGTACACACAAAATGCAACCTTTAGACCGTACATTTTTCAAACCATTGAAAGTTGGTTACAATACTGCAGCAAGCAACTGGATGTTATTGCATCAGGGGCTTAGAATTTCATTTTTTGACATGGCAGGTATTTTTACAACTGCCTATAACTTTACTGCAAACATTGACAAAGCAATCAATGGATTTAGATGCTCTAATTAGAAAACTGTCAGCAATTAAGTGATTTGCCTAGTATACCTCTTGTTGCACCTATAACGTTGCCAGATGTCATAAGCACAGCAACTGTTGCCTCAAAAATGAAGACTGTTACGAAAGAACCAGCACAATCAAATGATGCAGTTTTGCCAGTTGTTGATGAGCATCTTGGCCTTAAATCCGCCCCTAATATTTTGGAGAAGATTTCCCCGCGTCCTAAAATTACTGTATTAAGACAGCGTAAAAGAAAGACAGAATCAGCTGAAAATCCTACTTCTTCACCTTTTAAGGAGAGATTAGAAGAACATGAAAACAATGTAAAAGAAAAGCAACAAGAAGCAATATTGCGTAAAGAAAAAGCTGCACTTAATAAGGTAATCTAGCAAAAAAAGAAATAAGTAAATTTGAGGACAAAAAAACCAAAGAAGTCTAAAAAGCAGAAAGCCTGTCAATGTTTTATTACTGATACTACTTTATGCATCATATGCTCTTGTGCTTATAATGTGCCCCCATTTGATGATTGGACACAATGTACTAAATGTACATCTTGGTACCACTCTTTGTGTGGTCCAGATGATTCAGACTTATGCTACTACTATCTGAATCATAGTCATGTATATACATCGTTATTAGAACATTTATTTTAGTTATTTATTGCTAATAATTAAAAAAGAAGTTATTTATCTTCAAGACAATTGTATAGAATAATTGCTTAGTATTTATTTGCAGTGTTAATATTTCAGTTGTTTTAATAAAATGTAAAGAGTAAATAAAAAAAACTAATAAGGGCTTTTATTTTTAAGAACTTTAAGTTATTTTTAACAACTGTTTTAATGGTTTGGGGAAAAACGCGTGAAAAGCTTTCTTTCTTTAAATCCATAGAGCATCTTGCCCCACCACTGGGGCAAGATGTCTTCTGGTACAAGTTTTTTTTTTTTTGATTTTAAAGTTTATCAACAGTAACAAAGTAGTTATTTTATCTTACCAATGTCTTCTCTTATAATTAAACTTTAATATTAAAAAGAAAAAACACAAGAAAATGTAAAAGTATTTGTTATATACGATAAAGTTTGTTAAGGGGGGCATCTTGTCCCACCCTACCCTATCTGAAACATGATAGCTAGGACATACTAAGTGGTGCATTCTTAATCAAACCCCCCTCAGTTTAAAGTTGTTTTATGAAAATTTAAGTTGTTGGCAGCTGTTTTCAGACTACATAAAACTGTGATTAAGAAAAACTTTCAAGTGATTAGTAGAGTAACTACAAAACGTCTTCTCGATGACAATTAATAATAACATAACGTGTCAGAAACAACAATAACTAACACCAACATAAAAAAATGTTAAAGGTTAAATAGTATTTTGAATATTTGATTTCAATAACATTCGTGTTTTTTGACTTTTTTTTTTTTATAAAAACAACTGCCGAATAAACAATAAAACTGTGTCGTAGAAGTAAATAAAATGAAACAAAAATATTTTTGGTGAAAATTGCTTTTTATTAAATGTTTATTCTAAGGTTTTTTTAGCGTTGATGAGTCATATGCATAAACATTTAACTATTTCATGGAATGTCGTGTAATTTGACATATTTTAGTATTGGGAAAGTCATGTGAATCGATGTTTTTTATTTTAAAAAAGTGTGCCGCTATAGTCTGGAATTTCATAGGAGAGAAATAAAAGTTTATGAAAATAACACAAAATCAAAACATTTTTTAGAAACATATGAAGCGGAATTCATTAAAAATCTATTATCATCATTCATATTTCTATAAATCTCACATCAGCATATCGCATTAAATATATTTGTTTTGAACAATTGTAGTCCAACGGAGAATTTTTTTTTTTAGCTATGGGTCATAGTTGTCATTTTATTTATTTTCAATATAAACATTTACTCATTTTATTTATTTTCAATATAAACATTTTTTGTTTTTGGTCAACTATTATCATGACTTTTTTTTTAGAATTATTTAAAAATATTTTTTACTTTTTAATGTCTTATATTTGTCTAAGTTTATTTATAACATTGTTTATTTGTCTCTTCATTTATTGTTTTGTTTTACGCAACTGTTGCATTTGTTTATTTGTTTACTTTTTGTTGATTTTTTATTTATTTACAAAACACATTTTCTTTTGCTTTATTTTAAATTATTTTATTCTTAATAAATATACGTTATTATTTCTTATTTTTATTTATTATTTTTTTTATTATACTATTTGTTTTTATTTAAATATTGTTTAACATGTTTTTTTAACATTCTTCATAAATAGGGGCATTTTTTACAAACAATGATCTAAAAAAATCTTTTTTTACAAACAATAATCTAAGTTTTAAAAAAAATGAAAAGACAACTGTGATTTTAATATAACACTGTTTTAATATAACATTATTTGTGTTAGTTACCTAGCATAACATTCCCTATAAAACATATAATTTACTTAATGTAAATACACTTACTACACTCGCTATTAAAATCGTAATACTACGTTAATCCTGCTACAATTGTCAACGTAATACTACGTTAACGACTATTCGAAAAATAAGGTTATTTTCTTTCCGGAATGCACAAACAACATATATATTTCCATTCTTATTTTTATATTAATTAGGAATTTTTAGGCTCTTTCTAACTTTTGAAAAATAGGAATTGAAGGCTCTAGGTTTTCAAGACTCTCGACATCTATATTGGGCTTGGGTCGGTTTACTACGCGTGTGTTGTGCCACACATGAACTAACCACACATGACTTTGTTGGTGAAACTTACGCCATAGTAATATATTTTTTTAAATTTGTTTTGATCACATAAAATTTATTATACATTTAACTTGACATTGAATTTTGATGATTTTTTCAAAAGAAAAAATATAAAATAAATCTGAAACTATTACGTCACCATAACATCACGTTTTTTAAATAAAAACTTAACAAAATTTCATTTATCTTCATCATCACCATCTTCATCTTCATCTCCGTCTTCATCTTCTTCACCTTCGTCTTTACTATCACTGTCTGAATCTTCATCGTAGTATTTTGCGGCATCGTCATTCATGGTAGGCTCTTTACCTAGACTTAGATCTGTACTTACAGGTTTTCCTTCAGCATCTAAATAAAAAAAAAAAAATTAAAACTTCAAACTTTAAAACAACACAACATATATTTAAATATATTTGTACATTATTTATATAAAATTTAATATTTTATTATTCGTATAAATGCTATAAAATTATTTTCAAGATTATTCCTAAGAAAAACTTATGCAAATTTATTTCTTACTTTTAGTCAGGGAGAACACAAGAAAAGCAAAGCAAACAACCAGTATCAGAGCGTATTTCATCTAGAATATTAAAAAAAAAAACTTTTGATTTAAAAACAAGTACGATTTAATTTTAAAAATCTCGTACCAAACCGTACAATAGCAATAATCATAAATTCAGTAAAGGACTTTCAATTTTGTTACTTACTTTTGTTCGTTTTTTTAAACAGTTTGTTAGTTGGTCGATCAGACGTTTTCAAAATGAAATTCAAGCGCAACGGCTTTTATAGATTTTGCTGACGTAGTTGAAATTTGAAGCGCCTATAAAAAACATTTAGTGTTGATATAATTTTATACTAAGAAACTCAAATAAACAATAACTCTGACAGCTTTCTCAGCTTGCTTTACGGAAAGTGGTTTCAGAAGATAAAAAGTGCCTTGTATCCGAAGCGCTACATTTTTAACTTGAGCAGATAATATTGTTTCTTTCACAAATGAATAATAAAAAGCGCTATTATTCAATAGTTGGGCGGAGTTAAGCTGCTTTGTCGATTTGAGTTTTAACCATGAATTTGACATTTTTTTAAACGCGAGAAAATATTTTTTGGAATTTATTTTATCGTAACACGTTTACTTATAATAAAATGTTTATTTTAAAAATAGTGTAATTAATTTCCGTTCGCTTTTTTCATTATTCTTTAAATTTTAAAATTGATTTTTAAAAATATCTAAATTTATTTAATAGTAAATTCTTTATAATATTGTTACACAACAGTCTAATGATTTTTCAAAAAGTGGAGTTAATCGAAGTGTGCACTGAGAGACTCATACATAACTTTAAGAGTTTCTGATGGAATTGATTAATGATAAATTTCGCCCAAGCCAATGCCTATATGCACTTCAAAACAGCATTACTACAAATATACATACATACATACATACATACATACATACATACATACATACATACATACATACATACATACATACATACATACATACACACATACATACATACTTATATATATATATATATATATATATATATATATATATATATATATATATATATATATATATATATATATATATATATATATATATATATATAAACATAAGGTATGAAAAGTTTTATGTTAATATTTTGTTAGCTTGTATAAAGAAAAACTAGTCTGAGGTATGAAGTAATTTCCGTAATTTTTTCTGTTTAAAAGTTCCCGACGCAATTGATTTACAATAAATTCCGCCCAAGCTGTTTTTCTTGAATTTTTGGCGTTTTTTTTTTTTTTTTAATATTATTATTTATGAATAATGGTGGGAAAATTTGTTTCTAAAAATGAATTTATTATTGTTTAGCTTTTACAAAAAAGCGTTTTGAGTAGAAAGTTTAGTCACGTGACTTTTTAATGAGGAAAAATAAAACTTTGTTTTTGAAAAACTTCGTCCGACAAAAGCAAGAAACGGTTTTAGGTAGATGTCGAAGAATCAAAACCCACCCATGAAATAAAAAAAATTAATACATGTTTTAGTATCGTTTTTTTTAGAAAAGAAAGTGAAACATTTATTTAAGTGAAGACGACATTTTAATTTTGAAAAGTTATTTACTTTTAGATGATTCAATTATGTTTAAGTATCAGTTAATTTAGATAAATCATGCTCACGTATTCAACATCCGTTTATGTAAAAGCAAATTACATTTCCCAGCAAACATTGTTTTAGTCAATTTGCAGTGGACCTATATAGACATTTTAAAGAGGTTTGTTGGAGTTTTGCTTATCGGTTACTTCCTAGTGGGCACGGACGTAAAAAAGACGCTTTTAAACGTCTTATACACGTTTTACACGTCTTTTGAAGTCTTTTGAACGTTTTGGACGTCTTTTCAACGTTCAAAAGACGTCTTTTTTTGGTCCAGTGCCCACAGGGTTAGTGGACCTTTAATGGCAGTCGGTGTAAATGGCCAGCAGTTATCTTTCCGACATCTTTATAGTGGTAAGTCCTCGTCTAGCCACTCTTAGCGGCTGCCACTAATGGTCCACTAAGAAGCCAATGAGCAAAACTAAGGTAGACCGCTCAAATTGTATATAGGTCCATTGAAATTCCGCCATAAAATGTTTGCTGGGTTACTTTTATATGAGCTGCCTATCAAGTAAAGGAAAGAATTCAGAAATAGAGGACTATTAAATGGAACCTAAGAAGTTACTTAAATTAGTAACTAGTAGTAACAGAAAAAATCTTTTTTTTATGATAAGAAAATATTTAGATAATAAATTTGTACTATTTGGATCTGAGTTTTTCACTTAATAACTTATTGAAGAAAAACGAGTTCAAATTAATTTTTTTTCAAAATAATTTAGTTACAATAACATTTTAAATATTGAATCATTTCAATTTTTAAAACGTTCATTTCAATGTTTAAAAGGTTCAAAATTTTTAAAAACATTTAAAAACTTAATTTACTTTTAACTGATTATTTGTTTGTGTTGGTAAAACACCAAAAAAACTGGTTTGTGTTGGTAAAACACCAGAAAAACTGGTTTGTGTTGGTAAAACACCAAAAAAAATTATATTAATGAATTGTTAAAATAATATGGATTCATAACCATATTTCTAATCGAATTTAGAAAAATTTGTTATTGCATACTAATTATATGTATAAAGTGAAAGAATTTTTTTTTTTTTTAATTATTGGTGCCGAAAATTTAACACGATATTTTAAGAAAATATTTCTTAAAAAAGTCCGAGTATTGAAAATACTAGAACATTCATACCTTTGGAACTAAATAAGTTAAAGTGGAGCTGAAATCATTTTGATAATGAAATATCTTAAAGAATACAGTCCATTTAAAATTAAAAAAATTATGTTGGCTGTAAAAACATCCCAAATTCCCAATTTTCAGCCCTAACATTATGTATTCAATAACAAGCTTTTCTTGACAACCATCTTGACTTTTGAAAAAGTCAAGATGGTTGTCAAGAAAAGTTTGAAACCGAAATCAACCATCTTGACTTTTTTCAAAAGTCAAGATGGTTGATTGCGTTTTCAAACTATTTTACTACTCATAAATGAGTGTAAATAAAATACAGATTCTATTTGAACACATACAAAACTTTATTTCGGTCAGTTCATTCGTTTTAATCTTTATTTAACTTTTTTCTCTTCAATTATTTATTTTTTATCTTTTCATTCTGTTTTTTATTAAAATTGGAAAAACTGAATATCGTGCAGAAATTAAACTCTTTGTTTTGCTTGGTTTATCAGCAATATAAATTAACACAAAAATGGTGAAAGTATTAAAAAAAATCTGCTCTATGATTTCCAATCAATAAGTTTTAGAGTTTAAACATGGTCGAAAGTGTTGAAGATAAACTACGAAGTAGTCGTCCAATGATTACAACACACCAGAGATTGAGTTGAACAAGTTAATGTTTCTTGTTAATGGGACGATTAAATAAGAGCAAATTTCATAAGTGCGAACTGACGTAAGTGCGCTAATAGAATTTGCAAACATTTTTATAAATGCGTAATGGCATAAGTGCAAAGCAATTGCAAAAACTGGCATAAGTACAAATTAGCATAAGTGCGAACTGGCATAAGTGCACCAAAAGAAGTTGCAAACATTTGCATAAGTCCGAATTTGCATAAGTGCGAACTGGCATAGTTGCAAAGCAGTGGCATAAGTGCAAATTGGCATAAATGCAAACTGGCATAAGTGCGCCATAAGAATTTATAAATTTTTGGCATAAATGTGAACTAGCATAAATGCAAATTAGCATAAGTGCAAAATGCCAATTCGCATTTATTTTAATATTTGCAACTTTATTCGGCGCATTTATGCCAGTTCGTACTTATGCAATTTTTCGCAAATTCTTTTGGCGCACTTATGCCGATTCGCATTTATGTCAGTTTGCTTTTATGCCAGTTTTTGCAATTGCTTCGCACTAATGTTGGTTCGCTAATATTTGCTAATTCTTTTGGTACACTTATGCCAACTCGCACTTATGCCAGTTTTGCAACTGCTTTGCATTTATGCTAGTTCGCACTTTGACACCCGGTATTGAACCAGGAACCTCCAAGTTCTGAGGCCAGAACTCAAACCACTACAACACGGCTGCTTTATAGTCTAAAGCTTCAAATACCTTTTGAAGAAGAGCACCAATCAAAACTTGCAACAATCTTGTTAAATTACAAAAAATGAAATAAAAATTTTTCAAAAATTAGTTTGAAAAAACATCTGTTAAATTAAATTATCATTCGCTAGGATATACTTATTTTTTATCTTTTGTTATGAACGAGTTATTAAAAGATAAATTTATGCATAAAATAAAGGACATTAAAATATTCAATTCGCATTTATTGAAACTTTCATTTCGTGTAAAAGTAGCTTGGCGTAAACAAGGCTGTTCTTGATATTTATAAGTTGTGCTACAAAGTTCTGCTTCCAATAGAGAGGTTTAAGGTAAACTTTATTAGTAGTACCTAAAGCAATAAATTGCATAATTAAAATGAAAATGAACTAAAGAGTAATATAATAAAATTAAAGTAAGTTTGTTTAAAACGCTTCTTGTTTTGTATATAGAAACCTGGACATTTTAAAAAAGGTACACGGGAATTTTATTGGAATGCTATTAGTTTTAGGACTGAAGGTTTTATTGGCTCCTTAACCGTGCATGGGCGCCCGCAGGATTTTTTGATGTTTCAGATACGGCACTTTCACTCATTGTGCAAGTATGTTCATACTAAGAAGTAATCTTCCCTGGCTAAAAATCAGACTTTTTGCAAACCCGGCCCCGACAAAATTATAAGATTTAGCAGGAGTTGATAGTCGGAGCCAGAAAAAAGTACTAGGAAACGGTTAACTGAAGACTTAAAAAGTGGTAGGTTGTATAAAAAAAAGAAAATATAAAGATGGGTAAGGGTAAAAATTTCTCAAAAAACAAGGGGTTGCACCCTGCATCACCAAATTCGCTGAAATTTGGCACAAATGTTTAAAGATGTAAGGAAAGACTGTAAAAATTTTTCAAAAAATTCTCAACCTTTTAAGATTTACAGCAACTTGAAGTTAGTTATTTTTTGACTGAAAAAAGAGGGGGGATAAAGCCAATTTGCCATTACCCTTTTAACAAACTTGTAGTAATGTTGCGAAGCTAAAACTTGGTACCAAAGGAGTTTAAAACCTGCTGAATCTGAAAATCATAAACTTATATCTCTCAAAACAATAAAATATAGTTTATTTTTAGATCCACAAAACGCACTTGTTAATGACAATAAAAAAGGCCATTGACAACTATAGTTCTAGAAAAAATCTAACTGGTGTCATCAGTCAGATTTTTTTCTAGAACTATTGTTGTCAATGGCCTTTTTTTATTGTTATTATCATCAGTGATGAAAAAAAGTTTTGGTTTTCGTTATTTTAAATATTAAACATATATATAAATATTAAACATAT